AGGAAGAAAGAAAAAAGAAGAAGGCGGGGGGAGGAGAAGGAGGAGGAGGAAGCAGCAGCAGCAGCAGCAGCTAAGTGTCATTTATTAAAAAGATATGACCAGGCACAGTAGCTCACGCCTATAATCCCAGCACTTTGGGAGGCCTAGGTGGGTGGATGACCTGAGGACTGCAGTTCGAGACCAGCCTGACCAACATGGTGAAACACCGTCTCTACTAAAAATACAAAAAAATTATCTGGGCATGGTGGTGGGTGCCCGTCATCCCAGCTACTTTGGAGGCTGAGGCAGGAGAATCGCTTGAATCCGGGAGGCGGAGGTTGCAGTGAGGTGAGATCACACCATTGCACTCCAGCCTGGGCACCAAGAGTGAAACTTTAAGTGAAATTTTAATTCTCAGCAAGAGAATTGAAATTTTTTTTCTGTCTCAAAAAAAAAAAAAAAAAAAAAAAGAAGATACAAGGCAAGATTATTTTTCCCAATCTCTAGCACATCTGAGCACTTTCAAGCTGAGTTAATGTTCACATTATGGTCAGTAAAGGTGCTTACCAAAGAGATGGAGCCATTGCTAAACCCGGTCACAAGCTTCCCTTGCTTCTGGACTGAGACAGCACAGGCGGGTGTTTCTTCTTTGATGCTGGACACGTGTTGCTTCCCCTGAAGTTTTCCTGTGGCTGAGTTCCACAGACTGACCACACCATCCCTGGACACTGTCAGCAGCGTGGCCTGGGAGTCCAGCACGGCCATGCACATCCAAGGATCAGAGGCATCTCCCAGGATACGGAAAACCAGCTCTGCAGTATCCAGATTCCAAGCATTGATCTAATAGAATAACGAAGAGGAAGCGACATCTTGGCAGGAGACCTAGACTGCAAGTTTCCCAGAGTCAAATGCAAGATCCGTGCTCATCTGCTTTACGCATTTTCTTTTCTTTCAGAGATAGGGCTTCTCTTTTCACACGGGCTGGAGTGCAATGGCGCAATCATGGTTTGCTGCGACTAACAACCCTTCATCTAGGTTTTTCTGTTTTTTTTGAGATGGCAGTTTCACTCTTGTTGCCCAGGCTGGAGTGCAGTGGCACAGTCTCGGCTCACTGCAACCTCCGCCTCCCAAGTTCAAGCGATTCTTCTGCCTCAGCCTTCAGAGTCGCTGGGATACAGGCGTGTGCCACCATGCCTGGCTAATTCTGTATTTTTAATGGAGAACTACCCGGGCATGGTGGTCAGGCTGGTCTCAAACTCCTGACCTCAGGTGATCCACCTGCCTCAGCCTCCAAAAGTGCTGGGATTACAGGCGTGAGCCACCGCGCCTGGCCTGTCATCTAGGTTTTAAGCCTGCATGCATTAGGTATTTGTCCTAATGTTCTCTCTCCCCTTGCCCCTCCCCACCCCCCAAATTTCAAGTGTTTAATAGCTACATCTGGTTGGCAACTCCTGTTTCAGGTGGCATGATTTATATTACTGATTTATGTTACTGTCAACAACCACTAATTACTCACGTAACATCATAATGGATGGATATCAGTTATTTGGTGCTTACCATGTGCTAAGCACCATGCCAGGATATGTCTCATGATCTTACGACAAAGAGGAAGCAATGAGACTCAGAATGGTGAATGACATGACCAGGGTCACTCAGTTCCCAAGAAACTCAACTGGGAGTTAAAGATTTTTTTCCTCCTGGCATTAAGTTACTAAGCTATTACCCACAATGCTATTGGTGTCTCCATGTATAAAACTATGAAATCACAGGGTTATGATCGATATAATGGAATAACACAGTGGAATAGACTGATTTCAGAAGCCCACGGAACATTCAGAGAGACTACACAACAGGCTGGGCATGGTGGCTCAGGCCTGTAATCCCAACAATTTGGGAGGCTGGGACAGGTAGTTCACCTGAGGTCAGGAGTTTGAGACCAGCCTGGCCAACATGGTGAAACCCCATTTCCACTAAAAATACAAA